CGGGGGGGGGGGGCGGTGGGGGGTGTTGGGGTGGGGGGGAAAAAAAAAAAAAAAAAAAAAAAAAAAAACAAAACAAAAAAAGAAAAAAAAAATCCCAGTTATTAAATAAAATTTCCTCACATGGAGGCAAATATTGAAGGTCTTACCATCATATGGTGTCCTGCCTCTCTGCTGCCTCCTCTGGTAGAGGTAACAACAGGAGCACATGAAGCAGCAAACCATGGTGGCAATGATGGCCACGAACAGCAGGATGGACGACGCGATGCCGATTAAAGTGCTGGGACTGAGGAGAAAGGAGGAAAAACAGCAGGGAGCTTAAGTTTCAAAGTGCTCCACTTCTCACTTTGATCACCCAGTCCTCATGATGTTCCTGATCTGCTGCCTGTCTGAGGAGATTAAAGGAGAGATGACAGGCGCCTTCATTCACACACACACACAACCGTCACCTACAACTGCCCCCCCGACTTCACGGATCAGTAAACGACGTAAACCGCCCCGCATTTCATCTCAGCCTCTGACGCTCACTGATCTGATCCCCAGCTGGATGAAAACTGCAGGTTGTGATGGAACGCTTCCAGAAGTGAGCAGGAAAGCTGCTGTGCTGCAGCCGCTCAGGTACACAGCGGATCAATCCGGCGTTACCACAATCCCTCACATGAACGTACAAAAAGGTCTGTCACAATAGTACATTTTACTGTAAGATAAATTGTCCCAGAAGTTATTGCGATAAATGATAATGTCGTTTTGAGATCACTTACAAGTAATGCACTGATAGAGGCGTTATAATGCAAGTTCGCCCTTTCAACGACCAACAAACTGTAAGTTTGTACAGTAACACTACATTGTTTTAAAACAACTTATTACAATGTTAAGTACTGGGACTGGAAGACAGCTTAAATATCCAAAATAAAACACAACAAACAAAAACAATTCAAAATTATTGTTCATAAAATGGATTATGAAGTCTGTAAAAAATTTGCCCATCAAAAGATATTAACCATATTATTTAATTTCCAAATTCTTTGCTTTGGGGGCCAAAATAGTCACCTTGAAAGCACTTTTGGGCTACTACAATGATAAAAACGATATGTATCAAAAATAAAATTTCTTGAAACCGTTTTTTATTTTTATCTCCTCAAAAACAAACTAAACGTATTTTACTGATTTGGGTTCTGATTTCATAACCCAAACCTGCATCTGAGTAAAAGTTGCTTGATGTTTGTGGCTCGATTTACTGCAAAATTAATATGAATGCATGAGTCTTGTTGTTTGAGTCGTTTTCCGCCTAAATTTGTCTCTTTCAGCACAATTTTACTTGTAAAATGTTTCAAGTAAATCAGCAGGCCGCACTTTGTACACCAGTGAACTGAAGAAAAGATACTGCAGCTGTTTAATGTCATTTGTCTAAATACAAATAGGGCTTCAGAGTTAATGGACTAATTTTTTATTAGTATCGCAACTGGCATTGCTTTGCAGATGCTGTTTATTTTCTGCAAACACAAGAAAAAAAATGGTACATCTTTCAGGGAAGGTCATTTTTGTTAAAACATCAAAACAAAATAAATACCTGCTTCCTTACAGGGAATTACAAAAGTAAAAAAAAAAAAAAAAAGTTCCTGCAAACAACAACAAATAGACCATGGTGTTGACTAAATTATTAATACGTAATTAAATTACAACCCTGCTGCAGCAGGCATCCCCACCTGAACTGGAACAGCATGCAGCGCTTCTGTTCCCTCTCCGTGATTATCTTGAAGGGATCCATGCAGCAGTAGCGCCGGTGGCAGTTGCCACAGCAGGATGAGATGGCAGGACAGTCGAAGCCGTTGTGCCAGGTGCCATTTTTATCCACGTACCACAGACAGTCCTCGTTCCCGCTGACTGCCAAACGACAGCAAACAGCGAGGCATGAGGCGAAATGACACAACATGCGGTTTGTTCCAATCACAGCGGGGGATCTCCAATGTGCATTTTACAGAATTCATTTTTTATTCTGCCTCCAAAACCAAAAGAAATAAATGTTTTAAACAACAGTCTCTCTTGCTTTTATTAGCAGGAGCTGCAGTGCATTATTCAACACTTTCCCTTTGGCGGGGTCTGAAATCTGACTCAGGCTTAAGTAACTTAAGTTATCTAGAATGCAGCAAACGAAACTGTTTAAAAAATACATTTCAAAATTGTTCTCCCCTAGAAAGTAGCTGGATTAGGTTTGGTCAGACAAGATAGCAAAGCAATATCATTTAAAGACCAGAAAGGATATTATTGTAGTACAAAAATATGTCTTTTGCATTCCTTGTTCATGCGAGTGATTTTATACTTCTATCAAGTTATGAATAAATAAATAAATAAATAAAGACTGAGATTTTGGCATTTTCCATGGAAAAAAATATCTAAGTATTGAGTATAAATGAATGTATGATTAAATAAAAAACTTTATGTGGCAGTCACAATTAATTTATCATCCATTAATTATCAAATTACACATAAAGTTACATGACTCAACACATTACTTTATTAATAGGGAATGAAAACTGATCCTGTAGACCTTTTAAAGACATCAACCAGACATCTCTTAAACAAAATTTAAGGCACAATTCAATCCCAGCATGTCGCAGCAGTCGTAGATCCTCAGTGCTTTATATAGTTACTTTCATGTTACTCAAGTAACGCTGGGAGAAAACGGGAATGTAACGTAAAGCGTCTAAAATCTTAAAATAATGTCATATTCTAGAAATTAAACCAGGAGTTATTGTTTTTCCATGCAGTTCCAACACCTGTAAGGTCAGAGGTTGAGACACTCATTAACTTGTTTCTTCAACCTGGTGAGACTAAATTTGGACGTTGACCTTTAACTGCTCGCCTCAACAACAACAAAAAATGATCCCCTTTGACACACAATTTTAATAAACTAAAATACTGTGGCTGAACTGCATCATGTAGCCTATACAAGGATATTGTAAGTCTGTTTCATACATTATAGGCATGAAACTTAATTAAGGCATTAAAATCTGCTGCAAGTACTACCAATACAAAGGGAGAAATATTCTGTTTTGAGGTTGTTTACAAGAGGTGCAGCTGAAAGCTGTAGTTGGAGGCTATAGAAATGCACCAATCAGGCCTTTTAAACAGCCAATAATTAATGAGCTTTGATTTGAACTTTTAATTTGCTTTCTAAAACTACAAAATGCAAACACATCTATAAAAACTTTATTAATTCATTACAAGGGAAAAAGCACATATGGTTATTTGACATCGTCGTAGCTTTGAATCCCTCCAAAAAATACTCCCCAGTGTTATCCTCAATATAATATAATGTAGTTAAACTTAATGGCAATAGGTAAAATATTCCCTACAAATGGTCACACAACCAGTTGTATCAAGTCATTTTCCTGGAAACAATGTGTACACCACCTGAGCAAGCATGAGGGGACAGTAGAAAGAAATGACTGTCTTTTAACAAAACAAGATCAGTAGGCTATCTAAAATAACTACCAAATAAAAAAAATGAATCAAAAACAAGTTAGTTGGAAGAATTCCACAATAAAAAGTGGAAGTTTTCTTTTTTGATGCATTTCATAAAACTAAAAGCAAGAAAACAAAAACAGATTTTTACAATCAAGAAGTGATTAAATATTTGGAGCCTCACTACTTAGGAAAGTTTTTTTTTTTTAAGTCAACTGATATGCATTTCTTACATTCTCCATATGTATATAAAAACAAATTATTTCCAAGAAAATCACTCCAACATGTGAGCATTTTAGCTTTGCATTTTTCTCCCCAAATTAATTCCCACTAACTAAGGTGTTACTATAATTTCAAAATAACATAACGTGAAAACGAGCAGCTAAATATAATTGGCATTTTCAACGGTATTATTGTGCAGTTATACAAGATTATCTCACTAGAAAAGACAATCTGATGTCATACTGAAACTTTTCATTATGATGACCGTCACAAACATTAAAAATATGTACAATTAATTCATTGTAGGATAGGCGTTATAAAATAAATCCTGTAAAGACTGGATGAGTCCGTGTTAGTTGTTAGCAGGTAAGCTAGATAACGGCCAGGAGGAGTTACCATTAGCTAACGGTGCGGCCTATACACAAAGCTTATAATCTTACCCGGAGAAGTGCAGGAGACGAAGGCGAGCAGGGCCAAAGTCACCCAAATTGGGGACATTTTGCCCGTCGGAAAGACCATTTCCATCGTGAAATTGTGTGGAGCCGGGCGTCTTGGTAAGCAGCTACGGAGTTCTTCGGTAGAACCCCACAAAAACAGCCGCGGCTAGCGGTCGGTCTCAGGCATAATCCAAGATGGTTTGGGAGCTCAGCATGTGAGACGGGACGGAGTTGAACGCTGGTGATTTATCCATGTAAACGTCGCATCGCGATGGTGACGCTGTTCCCAGCAGAGCAGTCCGACGTCGGACGATGCCTTCGCGGTCTGCATGAAAAAAAAAGCGCTCAACAAATCACCCTTTATAAGGACATATAATGCGAATAAAACTATAATGTCTCAGAAAAACTTTATAACATATTTACAAATATAACTTTTGTGCAAAGACCGGACCACTCAGGGAATGTATTTAGTAAATAATGTTAAATGGTTACGTGTAGCTTACGACTTCGAGCTATCCTGAACGCATCTTCTCTATTTTCTCACCCCGTCCTCACGGATGATTTAGCAGTCTAATTTGTACCTTCACAACACCCTCTTTCTTGTGAAGCCAAACTGTCAAAAAATATGAGATGAAGACAAATTACCGTAAGAATTCAATGAAAAACATGGTGCTAGATGGCACCTTTTTGATTGTGTAACTATTGATCAAAAGGGGTTGAAGGGGTTGTATCATAGATAGATATTGCTGTTTCATGGCAATGCAACATTGACACAGCAAGTTCATTTTTTAATGATCATTTGAAATGTTCCAAAAAATGTTAAAACAGCTACAAACAGCATGAAATGTAATTGTATTCAGTCATTTGCATACTTTTCCAGATAGAAGTTTACAATTTTCAGGGTCTAACACATAAAAAAAACTTGTAAATCTCCTGCTAGGAACTTTTATTTAGAAATATTTTTATTCTAAACTTCAATAGATACAATGAAATGACAAGGCATTAATTCAAAATGGCAACAGTGTGAATTCCCCAATTCCCACCAAACCCCGAGATATGACAGCTGGTCTAAGAGCTTTGCATTTCCTGTCAAACAGTCACTGTTTTTCTGGAATATAAGGCCACCAGACTCCCTCACTAAAGTGATAGATTTCCTTCAGCCAGTGTATAGTCGTTCGGAAAAATTTACCATGTTGCATTTCCACTGCAGATAGAAACACAAATATGATAGGCTAAATTACAAACAGTCGGCCCAGATGTTGAGATTCATTAGTCCTTCTCAGCAAAGATCTGTCCCTTTTCTTGTCCAGACTGAAGGTCTTCAAGAGTATGTTTGACCTTTTCGGATGAGACTTGTCCAGCCTCTTAGCGTCGGCAAGGTCCTTCATCTCATCATTCACATGAAGTAAAAAAAGGAAGTCAAAGTTAAGTGCACAAGTTCTTTTCCAAGTTGTGCCCCTCCTGTCTCTATCGACCTTTGTCCTTCTGTCCTTTCATTTAGTCTTAAATTTATCACGAGTGACGTCACAGGGCGACAGAGGGACATTTCAGGGTGGTGTTGATGGAAGATGAGTTGGAGTATCAAACAGCACGACTACAGGCCTATAGACTGCAGGGTTTGTCTCTCAGCGTTGTTGAGGTGGTTTGAGAACATGCTGTAGCATGGCTGCTGAGCAAACTGTGTCAGAAAGTCTGTCAGGTAAGCCTGAGGAGAGAAAGAGTGGAGTATTAAGACAAATCTTTGCAAATGGTTAAAAATAACTATTAGTTCATATTTTAAAAAATAAATAAATAAAATATGCACAAGAAAAAAAAATCTGTTAAAAGAACAATTTTCAATTTGAAATTTTGTCTTGGCAGATTTAAATTTCCAGAATTTTCAGTCAATTTAAATGGACTGTTTCAAAGTGCAAATACTAAAGTTCACTATGACTCATTGGTAGATACTTTTTACTGTGGTCAAAATTAAATATTTTAATCAGAAAATTATCTCTGGATAGCTGGACGACAGGATAGACAAGTAGACAGAAACATACAAATTATAGCTGCACCGATCCACTTTTTTCACTCCTGATATCGATACAGATATCTGAGGTTTAGATATACTGATACAATATAGAAAAACAGCTGAAATGATGTACAACGTTCTTTTTTTAAATACAGACATAATGTACTGAATTACAAAATTGTTTGATGACTCTCCACTAGTACAGCACAATTAAATACATCAATAGCTTCACAAACTTAGTCAAACATGTAAAAACAACAACTTAATTTTTTTTTCAGTCAATGCAAATAGGAGTATAACAGTCAATGGAAAAGATAGTGATAAAAACAACAGGTGTACTATCTTGGTCAAATGTGTAAAAACAAACAGCAAAAAAACCTTTCAAACGATTCAGAAAGTGCAAAAAGGAATTCTAAAGATAATGTAAAATAAATAATAAAGAATGAATTCGTTCAGAACATAGCATAGAATTGGACTGAATAGATCCGTGTTCATTGATCAGGCACATTGTCAAAGAAACCCGATCTAGATTTTTAATTTTTTTTCAATATCAGAACCGATGCAAATACTAATACCGGATCGGTGCGTCTCTAATACAAATGAACTAAAAAGTGAGTATGTACCTGAAGATCGATCAGATAAATGGGGTCTTTCAATGCGTCTGGATCGTCCTCCTCATCATCCTCATAATAATCGTCATCTGTCAAAATAATACCAGTATTGAAAATGCCAATTCAGGTAAAACCAAGACACTCAACAAAAATACTTTACCATATTTGTTAGATGAAATGAGATCGGAGAGCAGTTGCCCTGCTAATCCTTCGTCCTCATCATCATCCTCTCCCTCCCCGTCCTCCTGGTCGTCCCACATGCCGCTGGGATCTGAGACAGAAACAGAAAACGGCCGTGCAGGTTTTATTGGGGAAAAACTCCAAACACCATTTTTATTTTCAGTAGAGGATTGACTATTTTCATCGCTACTCCTCACCGTGGCTCCAGTCAGCAGCGTTCGCCCTGCTGGCGTTCGCTTCCACCACCGTCGATAACTCGTTGATGATTAGTTTAAAGATTTTCACAAGTAAAGGAATGTTCGTCCAGCGTTCTGGGTCTATAAAAACCAATCATCAAAAACAAAAGTATAATAAAACAACATAAATTTAATTTACTATATTCCAAAAAAATAAATAAATAAAAAATATGTGCCACAAAAATGAGAATTTATTATCGCTCAAATTTCTCAATAGTTTAGATTTACTTTTGGCAGATTTGGAGCGAGTGCGAATGCCGTCTTCAAGATTGTAGATTTCTTCCCCCTTAACCATGATGTCCTGAAGTCGCTTGTCGTCAGCGTTTATGCCATGCTGCAGAAGTTTGCACAGCGCCACAGTGCTGCACGGATAAACGCACAAAGATGGAGACAGTTTGAGGGAGGCGAGGGAAGATAAGTACAACTAAAGCAAAAACATATGCAAGAAAATAAAGTCGTCTGACCTGACTTTACCCTCGTACTGTCCGTAGAAAAGATGCTGCCTGCTCATCCACTCCGTCATGACAAACTCCAAGGCAGGTTTTCCCGTCGGCCCTGGCAGACTGCACAGAAACTCCAGTAGAGGCTCCAGCTGGGAGTGGACCAGGTGGGCAAACACCATGATGAGAGACTGCAGGATGAGAAGGGAGACAGATCAGGAAACAAGGCAACTCCAAGAAAACACAGTGAATGTCTACCAATATAGATGCATCTCAGTTAATGAGAAAACCATCAAAAGTTGTTTGTTTTTTCTTTCAGTAATTCAATACAGGGAGTGAAAGATTTATTGCAAACAGAGGAATGTTTCTGTCCAATACATGGAAATACTTCACAGTAGGATAATTCTGATCCAAAAATATGCTTACTTTAACATTTTACATTTTGTCTGAGCAGCACTATTTTTGGTTTTACTTTCTGTCAGCCATAACAATCATGATAAAAAAAAAAAATGCTTGCAATATAATGCTCTGTGTGTAATCAACCTACATGAGTTTTGGTTTTTGAGCTGAACTGCTGGGATTCTGATTTACTGAGATTAGCCCGTCCTTCCATCTCTCCTGCCTACCTGCATGACGCTCAGAGCCTCGGCTTGCTGCATTTTGCTCAGGATGGCTCTGAGGATGTGATCCAGCTGGTCCCCGAGCTCCGTCCCAGCCCGAGAGATCAGAGTGGACACCAGCCGTCCCACAAAGACCGCCGTGGACTCAGAGGTCCGGGGGTCCAGCAGCTGGTTGACCACCTGCATGACGTACCACAGGCCGCTGTTGCCCTGCTCGTCCCTCCACTGGGCAATCTGCTCCAGGGCCACAGAGACGTACGCTCGCAGGCACTCGCCTCCGTTCTGGCGAGACGGAAAGAAACATGAGAAAATTCCCTCATTACTCATCGTTTCAACGTCTAATGCCAGAATTTAAAAAAAGTCAAAATTAAGACCTTTTAATGCCACTTTGAATGGAATCAAAGACCAGAAAAACTAAAAATATCGGGAATGGTTGGAGGATCCAGCTGTATTAAAATCCAAGCATAGCAAAAACTGATATTTTCTGGATTTGTTTGTGTTTTTGCCGGCAGCTTCGTGCTTTTCACACCACAGTTGGCTCTTTAACACCCACGGCGCCAAGTGTTTTGCACAAAATGCACGTAGCCTTGAATGGGCTGGCAGTATGAGTGAGAGGGGTGAAAACAAACGTCGTCCAGCCAACTGGTGATAAATTAGCATTTACCCGTAATAGAGCAAAAAAGCTCATCATCTACCTAGCAGGTCTGTTAGCAGCTAGTTACAGGTAGCCTCAAGTCTCAGAACGTAATGATGACAATCTGTAGGTGCGACTCAAAGTTTTGCTTGACAGAAAGGTTTTGCGGGAAAAAAAAAAAAAAAAACTACATATATGTGAAAATATGAAGCTTTTATTACCTGCATTATTGTGTGGTCATCAGTTCGTAAGGTGCACTGTGCTACCACAGGAAAGGCCTGACACACCAACAGCTCTGACAGAGGGGGCTTTGTGTTTCGGACCACTGTGGCCAGAATGTCTATCGACGTCTGCAGAGACAGAGAAATAAATGAGTGCAACTCCAAGGAATCGAAACATCGAAAGAACCAATGAATCAAACAACAACAGAAATGAACATAACATAAATGATACGTTGCACTTACAGCACAGAGTCCAGAGGGGATCTTATCCGGTGGCGCCTGCATGATGCTAATTAGTGTGGGTATGAGTCGCATCTGCATGGGGCCCTGACAGCCTTCGATCTGAGCCAGCTCCTTAAAG